AAGAAGCAGCCTCTTCGCCTACCAACAGTTAACAATTTGAATTCCCTGCCTTTTTTGGTTGTAACTTGAAGCTCTGGCCGCAAGTTGAAGCAAAATTTTGCGGTCGGAGCTGGTCGTAACTCGAAGTGGTCGTATGTCGGGATGTTTGTAAGTCGAATTTCAGGTGAGTTGGACTGTACTGTGTTAGACTGGAATGTATATTCTGCCAATGGTCAGTTTACATAGGAGCCTTTGGTGAGCAACTGTGTAAATACCATTTGGAAGACCAAATATGGTTATCGATGTATTCTTGAAGTCTTCCACGGCTGGGATCTGATGGCTGTTGTAGGTTTTTCAGGCTGTCTGGCCATGTTCTTGAACATGGCTAGACAACTTGAAAAACGAACAACAAGCAACGGTATGATTATCGATAATGCATTGTCTATGGGTCCTATATCTTTGGGGGAACTGGAAGTCGCCTCTTCTAAATACTAAAGGAGAAAAAAAGGGTGCAGTTCTTAAAGTGGTCAAAGGAGGTGGTTTAGCCCTTAAGTCACTTCACAGTTACCCATTCCTGCTTATGATGACATTGAGAGATTTTGGCTGCAAGGAACCCATGGATAGTATTAGATAACACTGGTGGAATTGCTTGAGACCTTGGAATGGGGATTTTTCTCTCCCTTTTGGCTTTTCTCAGGCCCTGAGAAAGGTGCACCAGAGGAGATATGTAGAGGGTGGCATGAGGAGGAAAGAGCTCATTACACAAGGAGAGTTGGCTTGAAAATAGTTCATTTTTGTCTTAAGTACTAACACTTCATTTTCACTTATTTTAACTTTTACTGTAAAATAGACATACTGTATGTAGGAAATGGGATGTGAGGTAGTTCCTGAAGGAAGAATACAGTGAGAAAGTCAGTATCTGTAGGGAGAAAATTAGAAGCACTAAAGCTGGGAAGGTACTAACACTTCATTTTCACTTACTGTAACTTTTACTGTAAAATAGATATACTGTATGTAGGAAATGGGATGTGAGGTAGTTCCTGAAGGAAGAATACAGTGAGAAAGTCAGTATCTGGAACTGATAGGTTCAGGGTCTGTGCTTTATTTAAGAGTGTTCTGAGTGAACCAAACTGATGTATGCATGATTGAGACTAAGCCACGTTACTGTATCTTATTCACCTGATCATTTTATTTTCCCTGTGTGTTGTTTAAATAAACCTTATTCCTTTATTTGTTAAAAATCCATCCCTGGTCTGTGTGACTTCTTATAGGGAATGGTTGGTGGCAGCTTAGTGAAACTGTGGCATATCCCAGTAGGTCTGGGTTTGTCACAGGTGGCATGAGGAGGAAAGAGCTCGTTACACAAGGAGAGTTGGCTTGAAAATAGTCATTCATTCATTCATTTATTTAATATCCCACCTATCTGGTCGGTTAAGACCACTCTAGGCAGCTTACAGCAAAACACACACAGAAATATATATAAAAACAGTTACTACATAGTAAAACACATTTCACAAGACGGGAGCAAGCAATGGGAAGAGGAAGGGAAAAAAGCATCAGGGATTGACTGGAGGGAAGGCCTGCCAAAATATCCATGTTTTTAATTGATTTTTAAAGATACCCAGCGAGGGAACCACGTGAATCTCTGGAGGTAAGTTGTTCCAGAGGCAAGGAGCCACCGCTGAGAAGGCCCGATTTCTTGTCTTTTTCTTTCGGGCCTCCCTCGGCGTTAGGTTCCTCAGCCTCACCTCCTGGCTCGCACGTGTGACATGGGTAGATCTTGGTGGGGGTAGGCGTTCTGCCAGGTATCAAGGCCCTAAACCATTGGGCTTTGTACGTAAGCATCAACACTTTGAAGTCAATGTGGAACCGGATGGGCAGCCAATGCAATGTGGCCAGAGTGGGTGAAATGTGTTGGTATTTTTTCACGCCGCTAAGTAATCTAGCTGCTGCATTCTGCACCACCTGGAGTTTCCGCAACAGCCTCAAAGGCAGCCCCACGTCGAGCGCATTACAGTGGTCTAATCGTGAGATTATGAGCGCATGCACCAAGATAGTGAGCGCCCCAACATCGAGATAGGACTGCAACTGGGCTATCCGCCGAGGATGAAAAAAGGCAGTACGGACCACCGATGCCACCTGAGTTTCCATAGTGAGCGC